TCCATACTGGAAGAAAATAACAACAATTCAATGGTTTTCTTGAAATTAATCCAAAGAATAATAATAATGATAATAACTCACAGAATTCCCATGTTTGAATTCAGTTGATGTTCTTAATCGCATGATACAATTGAATGCATATGGGCGAGTTAACATTCGATACCTTCAAAAAGAAAAAAGATTATTAAAAAATTTAATAACCTTAAACTTTTAAAAGATTATTTAAAGCTTATTTTTTGTTGCTTACATGTCTTGAGGAAGTGTTGAGTCATCAGTATTTGGGTATAAAAACAATGAGCCTCCACTATCAATGCTAAGAAATTTTAAAGATGCTAAATCTGTATACTCATTTGTGACAGCAAGTATGTCTATGCATACACCTGCTTGAACAGCAACAGCAGCCTGTAAAGTATAAAATTCATAAGGGTAAAATCGTAAACTGCAGGAAAAAGCAACATACTTTACTCTTATTTTACCAATATAGGTAATGTAAGTTTGTAATAAACTAATAAATAATAGTAAAATAAGATTAGTACCAAATCTTTGTAAAATGGTGTTTGTTCAGGGAGTAATGCCAGCTCAGCATCCTCTCCTTTACTAGCATATTGTTCACCATATCTTCTTGTGTCAAGTTGACCAGGTCCATAATCAGGAGGTCCAGATAAAAAAGCAAATATTCTAGCTGAAAATACAATTTTAGAATTAAGAAACTCAAAATCATTAAATGAAAAATAAGAAGGATTAAAGCAATAAACCTAATGCAAAAGTGTTGCCATGTTCAGATCCAAGGTATGAGATGAGTGTTTCCATTGCTAAACCAAAGCCTCTTCCTCCAAGCAAGATTCTATCCAATCCTTGTCCGCCACCTGTACTATCCCATGATGATGTTGGCCTTAAAGTTTCGAGTGCAGATGCAATTCTATCTTTACAAGTTTCCACCTGTAGAAAAGATGAAAGGGTATTCAAGATTTTTCATTTCTTGACATGATTTGATATGAGATTATGAGGGTGAGGGTTAAATTTGTCATTGAACTTACTGGAGCCAAGAATGAAAACAATGGCATGGCATCTTCAAGCTCAATTGGTAGGGTTCCATCAGAGTCTGCGGGTAAAAAGACATTTTTGACCACAGGGATAGGGCCTTGTACGTCGTATAAACCTAATTTGTGGCTGAATGTAGCAAGCCCAAAAAGTGAACCAGGGGCAAGAGCTGTAATTTGAAGTAGATTTTACGATCAATAACTTATTGGAGAAGGTATGGATTAAGAGTCTGGATGATTGTGATGGGAATACCAACCTTCTAAAGCTGCTAACAATGCACTTTTTGTAAGTTCTAAGAACTCATCTGATGCTGAAAAAAGTAAGTGAATGTTGATTAAGTTCATGTAAAAGTGTCATGTCGAAAAGAAAGATGATGCATATTGTTTCAGCAACCATAATCTGTAGAACAAGTAATAAACAGAACAATCTTACAAGCCAAATCAATAGCAGCAACATAAACAGGCCGTGCTTGCATATCCTCCTCCTCTGAAGCTTCCACTGCAGCATAGAAAGAGATGAGTATAAGCTTATGAATATCAAAATCTACAATTAGAAGAATTGAGAACTTCAAAACCTGTAAATCAAATCATTTCCAGTTTAAGAAATATCAAATTTTGTACTAGGCTACATTTGCATTGACAACGAAGAAAAACTGAATAAAACCTACAACAATGCCAATTCTCCATTTCTATAAGATTGGATTTTCGAGCATGCATTTTGAGGTCTGGAATCTTGACTGGAGCTCAATCAAGAAACTTTTAACAGGATTTCTCAATACCTAGTCCCCAACTCATAACTAAATTGAACAATGCATAAGGTAATTGGACATATATTAATATATTTAATGTTTGTAGAGAGAGAGAGAATGTGGAGATTACGAGGCATTTCGAGGTCGATGAAGGAAGACATGTTCTCGGGGGCAGATTCGGGGCGAGAGTAACGAGAAATTGTTTCAGATGAGAGGCCATTTAGGGTTCCACATAGGGAGCAAGTCCACGCCCACTGATCTTGGTCACAGTAGGTGTTGTAGTACGCCCAACAATTCTCGCATCTAGGGATCAAATCTCCGCCCGATCCATACACAGGCGAGTTACCGTTCTCGTCCTTGGAGGCGAACGGCGTCACCGTCACTCCCCACGGCACAGCCGACGAATCCTGCGCATCCGGGTCCGACGGAAACCGTATCACCGTCGCACGCACCGCCATTATTAGTAAAAATCTTTTTGGGAGTTTTTGTATTTTTCCGATCAGGGCGGAGAATATGGCGGGTGCGTATGATTGCGGATGGGTGTCTGTATCTCCGGCGCTTGTTAGCAGTTTCCTGTGTTTGACATTCCACGTACCATCAGCAAATCATTTTGTGCCACGTAAGATTTCCATTGACTACTCTGTGTAGCATGGGTCGGGTAGGCAGAAACGGTTTTCCCATTTTGACATATTTAAAAAATAGAGTAATTTACATGAATGGTCCCTGTGGTTTGTAATTTATGCATTTGGTCCCTAATTTATTTTATTAATTTGGACCCTCCCTACTATATATTTTTGTTGCATCTTTAGTCTCTTCCATACATAAAAATACCATTTTACCCTTATTTATTTATTTATTGGCTATATATTATTTTTCTTTTTTAGTTTATTGTTATTTATTTATAATTAATCTAGTTTAAAAACATCGATCCCCTTAATCCTTTAACAGTTTTGCACCCGTTATGTTCCACTATTTCTGGAGAGTATTGCCACCATAGTATATGTCATCGGAGTAAATCACCACCAGCTTTGTCAGCAGAGTAAATCACCACCAACTCAGCTACCGGGGTAAATCATCATTACCCTTGCCACCGGAAAAACACTCTACTTGAACCCATTTAAACCAGAAATGCATTCAAATGAAAAATGAAATCCAAAAATCCTAACCACTTATCAAACACAAAATCCGTATGAGAAGAAAAAGAGAGTGATTAAGTTCGTGGATGTGGATGCGACAACGACGAATGTGACAAAGATGGATGATGCGAAGGTAGAAATCCGGTGATGTTTTTTTTCCGCAGATCAGTCGATATAAAAGCGGTGATGTTGCAGATTGAAGACGATGGTACAGATCGATGACGATGCATATCAGAGACGCAACAAAAATATATAATAATAATAATAATAATAATAATTTGATTTAAAAAGAAAATATATGAGGGTAAAATGACCTTTTTATGTTTGGTAGGGATCAGAGACACAACAAAAATATATGGTAGAGACAGTCCGAGTTAAAAAAAAACAAATTATGGACAAAACGTGCAAATTACCCAAACCACATGGACCATTCATGCCATTTACTAAAAAAATCTTAAATACATAACCAAAATATATTTAACAGCTCTATTAGAAAGTTATATTACATTATCAAAAAAAAAAAAAAAAAACTCATATTTGCTTACGATAAAAAAAATAATCAGAAGACAGAAAGTTACCTTATAATTTTTCAACACTTCAAGAGAATCTAAAATTAGAAACTTCTAAATATCAAAAAGTTAGATTAGCAGTCAAGAGGTTGTTGCTTCAATGCTTATGAAACCGAGAAAATAAGAATAATGAAAAAAATGATTTACTTGGAAACATACTAGAAAAAAAAAAAAATAGAAAGAAATAAATAAGAAGAAAAATATACAATGTCTTCTGATTTTCGACACTTCAAGAGAATCTGAAATCATAAACTCCCTTCTAAACCTCATAAAATTGGATTGACATTTAAGATATTGTCGCTTCAATGCTTCTAAACTCAAAACATTTGGGTATGAACGTTGACGAAGACAAACACAGACTACAAATTCTAATAAAGTTTAAGTTGGCGTTTTGAGTTTTTTTTTAATGTCAATTTTAGATTTTTACTTATGTATCTTTTAAGAAGTCAAATTTAACATTACATATTGTTTCTACTTGAAGGTTGAAGAATTGACAAAAGATTTTGTTTTTAGGAGAAAAAAAAAAAGAAAATTATAGCTATTAGAACTTGAATTTATCTGTTTAGTTTGGATATGTTTGCATGAATGTTTTGAATTTTCTTTTGGATGTTTAAGTTTGCTGAAATTCAAATATGTTTGCACATTTTTTTTTTGAATTTATCCATGTTTAATTATCAACTTTATTTATGGAATTTGACCTACAAACCCACGAACTCGAATATAACCCGCGATCCACAACCAATCTGACATGCAACCCACTAACCGCATTATAAGTAAACAGGTTGGTGGGTCGTGCCGTGTTCAAGTTGATTTTCCCAACTCATCAACCCATCATCTACATAATTATATGACCCATGATCTACATAATTATATGGGCCGTGTTCGGGTTGATATATTATGACATGTCAACTCGTCAACTTGCGACCGCCAACCTGAATACAACACGATTATCACCCCTAAATATCATTAAATGAGTATATGTTATATTGATAAACTCACTAAACTTTATACTTACTCGTTTAACTTAAATATTTCAGTTTGTTTTGATAACAAAAAGAATAATTTTGACTCATTGTATCACATCCATGAATATGTTTTGTAGAGACTTCATTTGATTTTATTTTACTATCTATGTTACTACTTTGGTTTTGATCACAATTTAACATGTTTGAACAAATGGTTATTTTTATTATACTTATGGAAATAATATTTGAATGCTTATTTCTGTAAAAAATGAAAATTTAAGTTTGAAATTCGGAACGTTACACATAATTACATATTCCCTAACTTGTTACCTTATTTCTTTTGTTAAGTTTTAGTGTACTGTTTTTAGTAAATCCTAATATATCATTTAATCTTAATTACATATTTTTTTAACGGAAAAACTCAAAATCAAAACCTATAAACCAAAAAAATACTGAAACCAAACAAAAAAAAACTATAAAGTTATTTGAAAAATACACACAAATACCAAACTTTTCTAAGAGTCCAAAAAAATAGACGAAACTATTTTAGAACCGATCTTAAAAGATTAAAGGGTTTCGATAGTATCCTCAATAAAACAAATATTCGGGCCAAAAGCCCAATCCGTTGAGTTTTTGTCCGTTCTCTTTCAAGCAGGACTGCAGGAGTCGTCAAATCGAAATAAACCCAAAACCTCTCTTTCTCAGCTTGGATCTATCTCTGGTAAGCGTCTTATGATCCTCTTCTTCTCTGAGCAACAAATTTGTGCAGATTCTTGTTTATGATCTTTGTTTTTTGTGGCTACCTGGAAAGTTGCAGATTTGTTGCGTAGATTGACAAATTTGTTAGATGACATTTAGGTTTTCTACATGTAATTTCCACATTTCGATTACAAATCATAACACTATTATATTCATATTGAGCTGCGATTGACTTACCTATGTGTTCACTGTTCATGTCAATATACACACATAACTACACACATGTGATTATTCACGCCCTTGATTCTCTTTATGTGTTATTTCTCTTTGCTCGAATTTACACTAAGCTTCTAACATGAGCTCATTTCAGAATTAATTTTAATCGAATGCTGATTACAAGCCAGTTGATGTCTTGTATTAAGGTAGTCAGCGCATTAACAATTGTATATGTCCACTCTGAGAAACATAAATTTGATTTCATATGAATGAGGCAAAATGGCAGATAGGGTTCTAGTGCTTCTTCTTAGTCCACACATACTCATACTCAGTGTGGAGTTATCATGGAAATTGCTCGAGTTATCATGGCCTCTGTTACAGCTTATCGACCATTTTGTTGCCTTGACATGAAATTGTTCTCTTTTATTTAGCATTTGAGAACATATAGTTAAGATACAAACAATTGGAGTCACTTTTTCAAGGTTAATGTTACCATAATATATTGTGTCCAATTTTAGCATAAAGTTAGATTAATTCACTCTACAAACTTCAAGATTTCTTGAATAAGCATATGATTAATGAAATAACTCTACTTGTCATAATATTATCAATCCTGTTTGAGAAAAGATTTGTCATTCATATTCAAAACTTATGATGGATATGCAGATTCTTTCACAGTTTTGAAGTTATAACAATTAAAGACACCTCATCATGGCAACAAGACAGATGGTTAGATATGTATCTCGCAGGTTCTCAAGTGGTGGCAAAGTACTTGGTGAGGAGGAGAAGGCTGCAGAGAATGTCTACATCAAGGTAATTCAGTAATTGTTAATTCAGATTTGATTCATGAAATCATAAAGAGACATGTGCATTTTGTGAAAAATATGTGTTTATATTCATTGTTGTTTTACAAAAATACTACCTAAAAGTTTAACATCTTTTTGATATATTATATCCCTTAGCATCGAAAGTAAATGTTTTTCTCAGTTTATATATATTTTTGGTCCTTATCTAAATTCCATTTTTCTCCTCCAGAAAACCGAGCGAGAGAAATTGGAGAAGCTTGCACAAAAGGTCTCTCTCTCTCTCTCTCTCTCTCTCTCTCTCTCTCTCTCACACACACACACACACATGAAAAATTACAGAATATATTCTTTTGGGCAACTTTGAAAGTGTAAAAAGGAAAAAAGCCGTATTAGAAAGAATTGGGAGATGTTGAGTTGAACACACAAGATTCTTCTGTTTGTGGACTGTAAAGGGTATTTTAGTCATTTGGTTGATAGTGAAACGATTGTGTTTCAGGGACCTAAACCTGAAGAGACACCAGCATCAGCAAGTGGAGTAGCAGGTGATGCAAAAGCAAGTGAGTCCACATCAGCAAAAGTTGTAGGAGTATCAACAGATATGCACAAGAACTATGCAGTTGTAGCTGGTGTTGTAACTGGTCTTAGTGCTCTTGGATGGTATCTTTTGTCAAAAGACAAAAAGACCCCTGAAGACCTTCATGATTGAAGACTCACTCAATAAGGTGTTTCCTTTTTTAAGTCCCTTTTCATTCAAGACTTGAAAACAATAAAAATTTACATGATTTTATCACCAATCTTGGTGCTTTTGCTTTGTTTTGTAATCCATATATGATTGTTTTCATATTAAAACATACTCTTCAGACCCGAATTCATTCATGTTTTTTTTTTCTTTTCATTTCAAGGCTCCAACTAAAAAGAAAAAAGAAATCATCATTTTTGACCTAACTGTATGTTATATTGAATTTGACCGAGTTGGTCCGAGTCTGAGAATTTATGAACTAGTACTCGACCGAGTTGACTGACTTTTACAACACTGATTTCTTTAAACAACGTTTTGATATTAGCTACTATGAAGTCATGGTAGCTAAATTATCTTAAAATAGTAAAATTACTAATATCTACATTTATATAATTTAAATGTTACTAAAAAAAATTTAAAAATAAAAATAAAATAAGAATTATTTGGAAATTTGATGGATCCAACCATATACATTTTTTTAAGGACATGTTTACCCAAGGTCGAAGCTTGTGAATGGATACATTAGATAACCACTCGTCGGGACTAGCTTTGGAAAAGCTAAGTTTAATACAAATCAAATAACCAAGTTTCAACTATAAAATCAAGTAATTCCGACTTAATATGAATGGTTATTATGCACATTTTAAAAAACGGGAAAGATTCTAAAGAAAAAATGTTGAAATAGATTATATGCAACATTGATATGCTGTCTTTCTGGGCTTGTAACTGATTCAATATCTAATCAAAATAACATGTTGGAAAAAAATCAAGTAATTTGACTTCATATGAGTGACTTATGCATATTTTTAAAAACTGGATGAATTAAAAAAAATTAATAATAAATAAGTGCTGAAACAAAAAAATAAAAAAAAATAATACCTTTGATGACAAATTCTACAAACGCATCTCATAAATCATAACACACTTCAATTAGGAATAGATTAGGATAATGAGATAATATTTTCAAAAATATTTGCATGAATTTCCTGACTATTAAAATTTCAGTCAAGTTTCGATTTTTTAACTGGGTTTTGTAGAACCGAACTGAATCGATAATCAAGCCTTGTTACTAAATCCAGCCCGGTTCCGGTTTCAGTGGTTCTAAAGCTCTCCCCTAAGAACTAGTAAATATTTAATAAATAAAACGGATTTGGCTTTAGTTCTCAATTGAATCAGTTCGTTTGACTATACTCACTTGAACTGGATTAATCGGAAATATGTCATGTCCGATGTGATGGTGAATTGTTTCACTAAGTGTATTTAAGTGTAATGGATTGACTTGTTGACCAAAATTAATCTTGATAAATATTAAACAAGTAAGGAAAGTGTGGAGTACACACATGTTTAAGTTTATACAAGATTTAAAGTAAGGGCAAATTGATTTCAGAATTGAATTGAAATCAGAACGAAGGTGATTTCGTAATTGAACTGATATTGGAACCGAAATTGATCTTGAAATGTAACTGACATCAGACCGAAAATGACTTCGGAATTGAATTGATCTCGGAGTGAAATTGGTCTCGGTCCGAAATTGATCTCAAACATGATTGTGATGCGAATGCGATTTAGTAATTGGAACTGATTGCAATGCGAATGCACTTTCGTAACGAAAGTGGTTACTATTCAATTGCGATCGTTCACAGCTCGTTGGAACACACCATATCGGAAAATCGCAACAAACTTGCATCGGAATACATGCTGTTCGGTGTTATATCCAAAGGTTAAAAAGGCTGTTTTGTGTCAGGTTTGACTGTTGTTGGACATCCGTCGGTTAAACTAATTATCCAGTGGTTAAAAGTCCGTTTTGTGTCAGTTTTTTAACGTTGCAACTATCTTGTGACGGTTTTCAACTAAGTGACATATTTAAGCAAATTTTGGTCAAACATTTGATATAAGAATAAAAAAGAAAGGGAATATGACTTATCAAAGTAATTAACTTTTCGGTATGTTCACATCTGGGTAACTATCTTTTTTTTGTACACATCTAGGTAACAAACATGTTGGAAGTGTTCACATATGACCATTATGACCTGCTATAGCAGGTTAAATCCTAGATGTGAACGCTTTCAACAAGTTCGTTACCTAGATGTGTACAAAAAAATAGTTACCCAAATATGAACAAAACGAAAAGTAAAAATTAAATTACACGAATGGTCCCTGTGGTTTGGGGGAATTTGTGTTTTTGGTTCCTAACTTATTTTTTTAACTTGGATGGTCCATACTGTTTATTTTTGTTGCGCGTTTGGTCCCTGTTTTACCTAAAAAGACTATTGTGCCCTTATTAATTTATTTTTTAAGTAATTTTCTTATTTATGTATTTATTTTTTACATATTTAAAAAAATTAATTTTCCTCGGATGATCCGTACTATTTATTTTTTAATTAATTTATTTTTTTAACTCGGATAGTCCCTACTGTTTAATTTTGTTACGAGCTTGGTCTCTATCTTACCTAAAAAGACTATTGTGTCCTTATTAATTTATTTTTTTAATTAATTTTCTTGTTTATGTACTTATGCTTTATATATTTAAGAAAATTTAGTAGACCCCACATATCTGTATCTCCTCACCATCCCATCTCTCATCCTTCTCAACTTCTATTTATTTTCCATCTTTAGTGATATCGACGTCTTCATCATCCCTTCTTTTTTCGGTCCTTCAACTCCGTCGAATCAACACCACAACCCACTAAAGATGAAGAGAGTAGGTTATGGTGTTGGTTCGCCAGAGTTGAAGTACATAAACAGTAGGATCATCCGAGGAATTTTTTTTTTTTAAATATGTAAAAAATAAATACATAAATAAGAAAATTAATTAAAAAATAAATTAATAAGGGCACAATAGTTTTTTAGGAAAGACAGGGACCAAATGCGCAACAAAAATAAACAGTAGGGACCATCCAAGTTAAAAAAACTAAGTTAGGGATCAAAAACACAAATTCCCCCAAACCACAGGGACCATTCGTGTAATTTAATTTTTACTTTTCGTTTTGTTCATATTTGAGTAACTATTTTTTTTGTACACATCTAGGTAACGAACTTGTTGAAAGCGTTCACATCTAGGATTTAATCTGCTATAGCAGGTCATAATTGTCATATGTGAACACTTCCAACATGTTTGTTACCTAGATGTGTACAAAAAAAGATACTTACCCAGATGTAAACATACCAAAAAGTTAATTACCTTAATAAGTCATATTCCCAAAAAAGAAATATAGAATGGTACAACACGTTGAAGAACACAAATGACAAAAACATACTTCTCATTCTCTTTTCTTGTTCTCAAACTTCTGAATATTATCCAATTGAAGATTTGAAAGTACCACCAAAATACTTCGATTTAAAAGTGTTAAACACGATCTCAGAATTTCCAAATGTCTTTAATTTCAAATCACCAACAGAAATACAAACATATTTCTAACCGGACGGATAATTGGATCAGATCCCTTCCATTCAAAAACATTAGATGTGAACAAATGAAAATCTTTTTTTCCAACTTTAGGATCAGTGTTACATTAGTTTATTATTATATTGTGAATTGTGATTCGAGTTGTAATTTGTGTATTATTAAGAGTTTAACCTTACTTAGGAATAGACAATAAATCGTTTTCATAAATATAATTAATTACATGTCCTTTAAGCTAAAAGAAGTTGTTGATCTAGAAGCTCCCATTTATTTGGAAAGTAGTACAAGTTGGGGTCCTAATGACTTGTCATACACATGTGGCAATCAATCTTCATTTTAATATCACATGTCATGGATCACATTCCTATTCGTTGTCATAACGGATCAAACAAACATAGCAAGATGATGCTATTCGTAGTGCAAATTATGGTTGTACATTGTGCTGTATCAGTTATACCATCGTTTTTTATTGTTTAAACTTTAAAGGCATATCTCAAATATGCTCTGCTCATCACATGTTTTTTGGACTATTTGGTTTCTTAAATTTTACCATGTCATCTTATGTCAAAAAAATCTCTGTTGTAAGAACTTCCACATTGCCTCTTTCAAAGCCATTGCAATCAAAAGTTTGCAAGCCATATCATCTTTGGCTTTTCAATTCTTGAAAACTTTTCAACTTTAACAAAGTAATCTCACCATAGTATTCAATTGAATTTAATAAATAAGAATAAATTAACAATTATTAACATTATTAGTAGGTTAAATTTACCGTTAAAAAAATTATATTTGTTAGTGATTCATAATTGAGTAAACTTTAGATATGGTTATAGGAAAAAGTTAAGGTGGATATATTTTTTTGAAAAAAAAGAAACAAAAATAATGCTCAAACTTTTAATCAAAACATAAACAAAACTAATTGTATGATTATGCTAATAATTTTGAATATATTACTGACTACTTATTAATTACAAAATAATTATTATATTCGTTAAAATATAAAGTAGTTGATTTGCAAGTGGAACCATTTTTGAGAAATGTGTTGATATTGTATTGATGTAGTACAGTTGAAATATGAGGTGGAAGACCTAAAACTTTGAACTTATACAAACAATATACTTGTTACTTACAAAGATGACTGTATTTAAGGTATTGTATAAATTTTAAACGTCAGTTGCTAGATAAATTAGTTATTTAATGAGAACTAAGTACAGAAAAACATGGAAGACAAAAACGACATTACGAGTATTATGGCGACTAATTGTACAATGATTTTCATAATATTTTATTTTGAGTTATTCATAAAAATGAACATATATGGTGTCACCTATCACTACTAAGAAACTTTATTTATTTATTATTATTACTAGGTTTAAACCTGTGGAAACCACGGTTGAAAAAAAAACATTATTCATAATTTAAAATCATGATGACTAATCAAATATTTGTAAAAATTTTATTAATTTACAAACATAGAAGACACACATTGTTAAAAAAAAAAGGAGTAACATATAGTACAATTAAACTTAAAAAGCTTTTTTGAAAAAAAAAACAATTTCCTGGAAAAAATTAAAAAAAGTCCAAAATGCCCCTTAAAGTTTTTATTGCACCCGAACTTTCAAATCATCTCACTAACTTCTTTTCCCCTACCTTCCATAATCAAGAATGTTCATTATGGTTTAAAAAAATCTAGCACAAAAAAAAAACCATAATGCCCTTTGTTTGAGTAATCACACCAAAATTTCTAAGCATCACAACATACTCTTCTTTCTCTTCT